AGGAACTGTGAGTGAGAAATGAAAGCGTGCAGCTATTTGTACGTGGATATATAGATGGAAGCTGTTCAAGAGTGAAATAATATATTCCTCTCTTTTTTTTCTCGAACAGATTTTAAGAAATACTAAATGAGTTCGTCTCATTTTACAGTAGCTTTTTTACACACTTTTTCAATTAACTCTATTGTGCTAAAGCGTTCACTTAGTATATCGTACTTAATCTTATTCACATATCATTACATCAACATTATATTACTTCACACATTATTGCACTGCCTATTCTGCAACTGCCATAGAGTTGACCAACCTTATATCTAGATATGTGAGCCATTCCTTTGGCAGAATCTAGAGCATATGACAATATATTCCGTGACGTCAATTCACTACTTCCACCATGCAGATTACTATAGGTGTTGTGACTGCGGCTTTTATGGAGATATGTCTTAAGGTTACCATTGCCAAGGTACTCTAACACAAGGAACGCACGGACTGGAAAAGTTGGATACCTATAAACAACTGCATGTACACCCTCGTTATCCGCTTCGTTTTAAATCTCTAGTAGTCTTCTCATTTAACCATCGCGATATACAGTTAAATGATAATCATAAGAAGTTATTAAGGCCTTTAATAAGGTTATAAGGACAGCTGTTCAGTTTATTTTCACCTGGTTAAAAGGCCTTTACCTGCTGATTTACAGAATCCCAACATGACAACCATATTTTCGTGCTGAGGCACTAACTGCATGGTATCTATTTCTCTGAAGAAGTCTCTTTTGTCAACTTCTGTGTACTGTTCTGAAATAAATGAGCACATCAAGAACAATAGCTATTTCCAGGTGTGGAATAAGGTAGAAATAGATCAAAAAATATCATAAAGGGACTGGGCATTTGATTACCTAGCTCATACTTAAACATTTACTCAAAAACGTACCTTTCAACAGCTTTACAGCAACGGCAGCATTAGTGGTTTTTAAAATGGCTTTGAAGACCTCGCCAAAGTGACCATGTCCTATGTTCTGTAATAGTTCTATGTCGTTGAGATTGAGTTCTTGAGCTGATTCGTTTAAAGTAATATATGTGTTTCGCTGGTTCTGAAAATTAAAATAATTAAAGGATACTGCAACCTTTATGGTCATTCCAATTACATGCTGATATATTATTTTTTAATACTACGTTGCAAGCGTTTACGTCAAAATGTATAAATACTTGCAGCATCTACTTTCATATCGAAAAGAGTTGTAGTAGACAGATTGTGTTCATTACTGGCATTTTACCATAAGTGAAACAGAGATAATGAATAGATTTCATCAGTATCACACAGTTGTGTAATCATAAAACTTAAAACCTCAGTTAATAAAAATACCACCATTACCTCTTCTACCCTCTCAGGTACTTCGTACATGTGGTAATCGTCTGTGTTGCCCTTTCTAAATCGATTTATAAATCTTATAATAGGCAACTTAAATGTCTTTCCAGGACGTCGAACCTGTAAATGTGTCAAAAGAAACTCCAAGGCTTTAACTAGATTCAAATCATACTTTGTCTAAATGAATTGACTATATTGAAGAGACAAGAAAGTTTCAAACTATATTTGTTAGTCTAAATGGTATTTTTGAACTTCTTAAATGATTTTGGTGATGCATATTCGAAAGTAAGTAGAGATTATTAACTAAATAAAATAGGGATACATTCAACCCTATGTATTATTTCGGCCTGGCGGATAGGATAGTAACGCTAATCAATGGTATACATGTACACTGTATCAATCGAATATTATATCGAATGTGGGAAGCACTTCATTTGTAAGAGTTTATATGGACGTGACAGTGGCCCACGTTCAAGTGGTATCTAGGCCAAAATGCCAATCCCTATCACCCCCTTTTTGCAATTGGGAATTGTAATAAATTTTAAATGCCTACCTGTGTCGAAAGTGTGGTGGTGTTTTTAACAAAATGCACATATTTATGCTAATTAATTAAAAAACACTATTACTTACATCACGTCTTCGGCGTATGTTTGTCGGAGTATTTTGCCTTGGCAGGTGAACCGCTAAAAACAAACGATACGTATTCATGTGATCTGTTTAATACCAGACGTAGTTTTCAGGAGTGTCATTTTGTACGACTAAGGGAAGGATGGTGATTTAATTTGATACATTATCTTCGATTTCTAAAGAAGTAGCATCTACATGTATGGTCCCCTCTTGACATTAGAATTTTGAGTAGCTGAATCATAGTTCGAAGCCGTACCAAATGGCACCAATCGCCTTCAAAAATTCCCAAAATTTTCGGTGCCCTTCACCAGGTCCGGACCTCACGCCGGGGCTTTGGGGGTACGGTCGGTTTCGCATCTGCGACCTGTCATTCCCCAAAACCGGACCCCTTCAAATAACCCTGGATCCGCACCTGGATGTACACGTATATGCTGGACGCCGGTCATTTTTTTAGTGAGGTATGGGCGCATTTGATTTAATATAAATGATCGGAATGATTTAACCCGCTTGATTTTATCAAATCAATAGTAACACTAATTTCCTCAATTCATTTTTTTCCATTTTTTCTGTCTACCTTTTTACACAACTTATTAAACGGGTTCATATCTTGTTTTCTTCACAAAAGACATGGATTAACGTGCATTATACAATAAGGTTTATATAAACAGATGAGAGGAGACTTAAATTAGATAAGAGAAAAATAGGAAGCATACTTGTACCTCTAAAGGCCACTTTCCTTCGGTTGTATACGATGACTACAATGATAAGAAATCCCAGGAAAAGAGCAGCAGCCAACAGCAATATGGGCCAAAATGTAAAATATCCAAATTTTTCTTGGCTTTTTGGAACTATTCTGGTGGAATTAACTGCATAAAAAGGTTAAAATAAACAGATGAGAGGATATTTAAATAAGATAAGAGAAAAAATAAGAATAATGTCTGTATATACTTAAGTACTTACAGTATCGTCTTCACTTTAAACACATATTGTCAAACGTTTGTACACAAATACTGTTTGGTTTGCGTTTTATACTATGTCTATAGACGTTCCACAATAAACTATACAAAAGCCAAAATCCGTTTCCTTAAAATACAAGTTGATCGTTTTGTTGGTCATATACCTATCACCCGAACAGTCTGATATTCCTCTGAGGTGGCAGACACTCCTACGCCAATGAGTTTAACAGAGCATGTGTAGTTGCCTCCGTCCCAGTAGCTGGCATTATATATTCGTATCAGACAGTTTATGGTGAATAGATAGTTTGGGTTCAAAGTATATGTCACTGAAATGTTTCTTCCGATAAACTCATTCATAGGTTTAGCTATTTTCATTCCAGCTAACAGTAACATGTAGATGGGCCGGATATCTGTACTGTTCAGCGGATTAACTTTCTTCCAGATGACAGTAAACCCAGTAGAAAGCGCCATGGAAAAATTGCACCAAATTGAAAACGGATCGCCTTCGTCTATCATTTGCAAAGAGGGTGCATTTTCTGGCACTAATACTGAAATGAAAATGATGTGATGAAATGACAGTTTATGGTGATTAGATGATGTGCTTCTACCCCCACCCCCAACCCAACATACCCTCCCTTACCAACCGACGTACGTACAAAGACGCAACTACTCTCACGCACATATACTCGTAAACTCACAAAAACGCCCATACTTTATGTCATTAAATTCTTAACCACATAGAATATTTACAGAAATCCAATTTTTGTGTATCAGATTTTGCTACAGCATATTCCATTCCATGTGGAGTCTAACAAGAGCACAGGAATGAGATTGGTGAATATCACCAATGCAAAATAATGTTCACTCAAAGAGGTGCAGCACACTAAAAACATTATAGAATTTATCATATATACGAATCAATATATACCTACCTTCCATAATTCCACAGGCAGGGGTTATCAATATGATGACCCCTAAAATTAATATGGAAGTTCTCATGTGGAACGCCATCTTAGCCTGGCGCACATTTAATTTTGTATTACTATTTTTGCAATGATGAACATATTTTGGGCGTCGTGTTATTGCTTGTGAATTTGCACACGCCATCCATGCGCTATTTATAAATAACGTGTCATAGAAATTATCGTTGACTAATAGTTTCACTTTAATAGGGTAGGCTGTTTGGTCGGCTTTGGTGAATAAAGCTTTCAAATATTATTATTACATCTGACTCCAATGGAGTTTTCTTTTTAGAGGTCCGTCATTTATATATGAATATGTACAATGTATGCATATGAATGGCATTGATGAATATTTTGTTTTGAAATGAATGATGTCCGACTTCAATCGTCAGTAAATTGAGAAAGTGCTACCTGGGGGAAAAAGTGTTCTATGGCGAACTTACACACCGATTTCTTATACACCTGTTTTATATTCAAAAGAAATATGTATTTATTTAGAAAGTTCAATAGCCATCAAAATGAGTCATCCTTATGACAATGTTTTTTTCAATCGTTCTGTTTTTACTGTTTTTACAGTAAGTCATTACTGAAGTTGAAAGTAAAAATAAGAATAATGGCCTTTTTACGAAAAGAGGTCTCTTTTCTTTTAATAAACTTCTGCAGGTAGTTCGTGGACCTCTTTCAACATACCTGCATAAATATATGCATTTTGTTGCTGTATCTTCTGCTATCTTCAAATGTTGAGCAATTTCTCTCCCCTACCCCCACTTTCAAAAAGGGCAGTTTCTGACTGTAAGGTTCACATTTAATTAGTAACATTATTTTCTAAAATAAAACACTTGAGGCTCCAAATTTTGTTCATATGTAATGGAACTATACCATGTTAACAAATCATTCACCAAATACCAATTTTGTTCTCAATTCTCAAGGATTTGATTTCAATTTATGAAAATCTATAATATATGACCGCTTGTGACCTTTGACCCTTGACTTGTTGTCATTTATTAATGATGTATGAAATTGATTGTCCATTCACTTACCCCTATAAGGATATAACTTTAACCATATTGATGAAGTAAGCATTTTCTCTCCCCTAAACCCACTTTCAAGAGGACATATTTTGAGCGTTAGGTTTACATTCTTTTATTTGATTTTCTAAAATTAGACAGCTGAGGCTCCATATTTCTTTCATAAGCATAAAATTATGCCTTGTTTACAAATCATTCACCAAATACCGCTATCTTACATAAACAAAAAATTGAAAAAAAAAATGTTTTGGTTTTAATTTATGAAAAATCCCCATAAATGGCCTCGTATGGCCTTTCAACCCATTATCAATGGCTCTTGACTAATTGTCATACATTCGTGACTTTTGAAATTAATTGTCCCATTCCTTACTTCCATACGGATGTACAATAGATTGATATACCTGTTATCATGTACATGTAGATTATTATTGATATACTAAGCGTTTTCTCTCCCCTTCCTCCATTTGAAAAAGTCCTTGCTGCTGCAGGGATAGAGTTATATATGGTGTGGAAGCACACAAAAAGCTACCAGCGTGAGAAGGCTTTCACACTTATTTGGACATTACAGCTATAGGACCTGCAAAAAATCACCACGAGAATTCGTCCATTTTATCGCACGATGACAAAAAATCAGGCGTCTGACTCATGGGCTTATACAGAATAAATTGTAGCTTGAAGTGACATATTGACCACCGAGTTGTTAGAGACAGTTAAATTTGGCTGTCTGAACGTTGCTTTTACGTACTAATAACGTTTAACCCGCACGTTTGTACTAGGCCTTTTGTTAACGATTGTTATTTTACATTTTTTCTACAGAAGAATGTGCAGCGCTTTGGTACATCAAAGGAGTGTTTTTTTTCGACCGTTCCATGCTATTTTTGACATCACTTGTTAATAATAGCCAATGTATCAGTTGAATCAGAAGGCTTAATTTGCATAAGTTATATATATTTTATTAAAAAATTAATTTACAAAAATACAAGAAGAGAATTTAAAGATAAAATATACAAATGGGCAAATGCAAAAGAAAAAATACAGCAACAATTTGAAGTTGTGATCTATGATACAGTGAACGTCAAAGATCAAAATTCATAATAACAGAGACTTTGACAGTATCACAATAAATCAATTTGAATTTTTATGGTTTGTGCAGTCAGACTTTGCAAATAACTAATGAAATCAAGGAATTGTAGTCATGTGCAATATCCAGTTATATGTCTTTGCATTTGAATCAAATGATAAAAAATTTCCTGTATACGATATCGTTCTAAAGGCAATCAACAAAACTCAAAACTTAAAATGGCACTTATATCCAAAAGGATTACCACTGAAATTGGAAGTCAGGTAAAATGCTTTCACCCGATGACCACCGGCTGGTGAACTAAAATAAAATCATACAGTAGTAATTTCCTGAATTCATTTGCACTTTTTGATAAAATATCCAGTAACTAGTCCGCGACTAGTATTTTTCACCAGGAATACACCGTGTTAGGCCCTTGAAAAGCCTTTCATCTATATTGACCAAGTCCACATAGTTCTGGGCCTTAGAGGTCAGATCTTCCAACTGTTGGCACAACTCTTTGAACGAAGGGCGAAAGGCTGGTGGCTCTCTCCAACAGCGGTACATGATGCGGTACCTGGGACAAAGTAAGATGGAGGGTAGCTTGGTACATTTTAATGTTTGTTAAAACAGACGGTTGTGTGAAAAAAAATTAAGAACACAGACCACAAAATTTAATGACAAATTGATAAGTTGAGTTGAACATTGTACAAACCAGAATGTACAGTACTGAGGTTAATTGAATATTACGGTCGAAAAAAAAAAATACTGAATTGCAATCTACAAACCCGTTTTGTGTCACTCCGTCTCTTGTCGCTGCTCCTTTGTCTCATTTAATGCATTTATAGACACAGAGACAACATAAAAGTACACAGTGTATGAGAGAGAGAGAGACACACACACACAGAGAGAGAGAGGTGGAGATGGGTACTTACACTTCGTATGTGCAGTGTTTAGGTCTCATCATACGGTAACCATTCTCCAATTGTTGTCGTAGTATCATACTGGATATGCCTGGGTAGGGAGTGCAACCTGGGCAGGGAATCAGAATTTTTATTTTGCCGACAATTACGTTCTACTCATGTGAATGCTTACATGTGGAGCACTTGTTTGCAGTTCACAAATTATACTTTCTACTTCCTTATTACTGTTTTGAAAAAAGGAAGAATTGTGATCAAAGCATATTTTTTACGTTTACTCTACTTGCTGTAAGGTCTTTAAAAAGAGGATATATATATACCCAAAGTCACTATCTCCCACATAAGAATACCAAAAGACCATACGTCGCTGTGGGTGGTGTACACGCTGTCCTTGATTGATTCGAGCGCCATCCAGCGGAGAGGTAGGAAACCCTAATAAAACCATAGGGATTGTTGATAATTGCTTTTGTGTTGATTTTCATGGATCATGTCTGTCTTGTTAAATCCAGTTCAAAGGGTTGGCAGACAGAGATATGGCAAGATAATGCAGTAGACGAGGGGACTCACTAAACGAACCTTTGCACAGGTACTTGTATTGAAAGATGAAGACAATATACTCCAGGTGGTTACCCAGTTAATTAAATCTGACGCATTAGATTGTGTATTCGCAAAACTGAGAATGTTATATAGCTATAGTTGTGTGGTCCAGTGCAACGTACCTGTGACCGGCTCTCGTATTCTCGAATCAGGCTGACATCTCGCGCCAAACCGAAGTCTGATATTTTACAAGTGAAATGTTCGTCCACGAGCACATTGCGGGTTGCCAGGTCTCGGTGGAGGTACTATAAAAATAATACATGGTTAAAATAAAGAAAGATCAGAATGTCACGACTAAATTTCATCAATTAACCGCGAGCTTATGTGTATGGAAAGTTTTTTTCTCAGTTTTAATTATGTCATTCAAATACATTATTCTCATTCAGCAAGTACCTGTATAGCCATTCAACAAGTGTTGTAAGTAGCTGCATTTTGTGCTTAAAACATTTTACTAGTCCCCCCTGCAAAATTACCAGTAGGACATTATATAAACTTTAACTTAATTTTAACGTGTGAGCTGGAGTAGAAATGCTACTCCCCAGAAGACAATTTTCTCTACCAAATGCCAACCTGAAAAATGTTACCCAAAAATCCTCCCGCTGAACGACATTAAAATATTATTCTCAATTTTTACGAAAAGTGGTTATTTACCCCCAGTTCCGCTATATGTGTCATCCCACAAGCTACCTCATAGGCAAATGTAAGGAGCTGTTGTGCTGTAAACTTGCTACAGCCGTATGTGTTACTGTAGTAGGTGTTTCCCCGACCATTCCGCAAAACACGCTGCAGGCTGCCCATTGTCTGGTACTCCATCACGATAAACAGAGGGTCTGGGAAAGATAAGAGGACGTTTTTATTACAAAACCATAAAATACAACTCTATAAAGCAGAACTTACAACTAAAAACGTGTGCGTGTGTGTGCTGTTTATCCGTTTTTAACATTGCTCAGAGTAAATACTAGCACAAATGGCACTACACAGTATTGGAGGTTAGTTTTTTAATCAAATACCATAGAAAATTATCAGGTATACCTTCTTTGGAGGATGTAGCTATTAAAGGAACAATATTTTTGTGCGCCGGTACATTTTTCAGTGTCTCCATTTCAGTTTTGAAATCTTCTTTTTCTTTGAACATTGTATTTCCTAGAAAGACAATGAAAAATCACATAAGAAATCGGTGCATTAAATTTTTGTTTGTATATCTCACATTAGATTTAAAAATAATTGACATGATGCATGTTTATCAAATACATGTACATTTATACAAGTCTGCCAGACACTACATTTCATATCAGCTTTTAGTTGCAGTACGGTGTGTTTTTAGGTTTTTAAAACATGGAAAGTCAAGGCTGATTAACGACTGAAAAAAATTGTATCTTCTACACCAAAGCATCCTATCTACCTTTCAAAATTTTAACGGCCACAGTTTTCACTTTTTCCTCGACCTCCATGTAGCCTTTCCATACCTCTCCGAACTGACCCTCGCCCAGCTTGCAGGAACGATCGAACTGGAGCTCCTGGATTGAGATTTCCCCAGCGCCTGTCTCCGACGAGGTGTTTTCAGTGCCTGCAGGGTTGCCGGCGTCATGTACCGGAGGTTCCAGCTGGGGCAAAAATACGTAGACAGATTTACAAAAACAATTGACTTTCATTTAGATACAATGTATGGCCATTTTAAGAATCTAAATTACCAGTTGGCAGTTGGCAGATTAAAGATAAATGACAATTTACTGTACACAGGGAAATAATAGTTTATTCAAAGTTCAGCGGTTTTAACTCAATGGAACAGGACTAAGTACACATACATTACACCTGTAGCATGCGCGACTTAATTATGGTTTGTAAAATGACTGATAAGTGGAATATTAAATGGTTCACCCTCCGTAGTTCCTCGTCTTCTGGGTCGTGATCCGGTGCTCTTCTTCTCTTTCTTGCCTGGTAGTACTAAACATTTAAATATTATGTAATTTTTCGATTAATAAGCGATCCAATTGCTATATACACGGTACACTAATTTCGTCTATTGGTCACTGTTCATAAAATATAATAACGGTACACTTTCCATTTAAAGCAGTCGTGACAAACATAATTATATCTTCCTAGACCAACCAATTTAAACTTTAAAAATTTATCGAAAAAAGAGACAGTTTAGCTTGGACGTTTCCAAATTCAGTGGACAAAAAGGTCAAAGTTGTTCGGTCAATGTGTTTTCAACTCTGCAGGGTCTGGCGTAAAAGTAAAGAAAAGTTGTATAATGTGCACTGTTGGGATATACTTATACTCACCCTGTATGCATAGTACATAGCGGTGGTGATAACAATTGAGATGATCGCGCCCGCTGCACTCGCCAGGACATAATTCGCACCTTACAGACACAGTTGTAAAAATATGTAATACAATAATATGTGCTTCGGTAATTAAACGTTCGACGGGCGGCCTTTTTGTCCTCTCCAATCCGTCCTTTAATTTTAATCAAAACGTTTGAAATGTGTATATCATTTTCAGAACCTTTCTAATGACAGCTTGCATATATATATATATGGAGTTCATTAATAATTATGGCAAATTTGAAGATAACATACATGGTTAACACACCCAATTTGCCGTATACACATTTAGTACATTTTTGCGACTTATATTAACATTTAAATGGTAATATTTTCACATTAATCGACTTGCCTACAGCAGTTGGTGCTCCAGGTTCTATCCCAATGGTGCTCTCTGAAACTGTGAAGATACAGGGGTATACCAGTGACAATACTATCAAGAAAAACGAAGGCATTTCAAATATGTTATTTTTCATTTCTTACTAAACTCTCTCTCTCTCTCTCTCTCTCTACTTTTCAATAAACACATCTTGAGCAGTTTATTTTGTTCAGTTGATAGTTCGCTGCTTTTATAACTGAATTAATAATGGGCGAATGCAGAATCACCCCGCAGTGCAGCCCTCTTTTTTTGGCACAAAAATATTTATGAGAAAAAATCCCCCTAGCTGCCTTTTGTAGTGCCCTATCAGAAGCCAGTTGGCTGATGACGTTATTTCTGTGCAAATTTACTCTCTTGGCAGTACAGATGTGTTCACTGAATTAGCCATAGTGTTTTCAACTGATACAAAGAGTAAAATATCTCAGTGATTGAGGGTACACATAAACACAAATAATACACAGTAAATTGGTGGCGCGTTTAGCCTCACCTGTTACTGTTAAAGAAAACCTCTGCAGACACGGATAAGACTCATCTATAAGATGGAACTGGCAGGTATAGTCAGCCTCGTCTTCAGGGGTCAAACTATAAATGGACAACAAGGTCCAGTTTCTTCCCACTGTGACGTTCAATCTGTCGGTAGAGACGCTCGACTTGGGCTCTATCGTTTGACCGGCGTTCTTGTAAAGGAAAGATGCCATTGTCTCCGATTTCTGAGAACCCTTGCGTTTCAACCAATCAATTTCTTTAACCCTGTTCATGCTATCTTTGTCCATGGAGCATTTTATTTGGGCTCCATCTCCGGGTAAAAATGCAGTTTTCTCAGGTGACTTTGAAATTTGGCAACCCTGGGCTGAGAAAACAATTGGAAAGCTTTAGAAAGTGGCTTTGTATGAAAAACAAACGATTGATATGAGTCACGCTATATAGTATTCCAGTGTCTATGCATTAATCTGTTGACATACCTTCATACCTAAAAGAGAAGATCCATTTTATACGCAAAAAAAGCATATTATTTAAACAATTGTGAGTTCCATTTTACACATTTTAGTTAATTTCGCATGACGACCTCTACTTATTTCTTCAAGCCCGTTGCATCTTTGCAGAGGCAGGAAGTTTTCTACCCCTGCTCCGTAATTGCTTGTTGATTCATTCGGAGTTTAATAGTAAGAAGTTTGTGTAACATATCCCCTTGCCTTCAGTCAAGTTAACAAAATGTGGGTTTAAATGTCTATAAGGTATTTGTTCAGTACGAACTCGATAAAGGGATGATTTATCGGAGAAACCTTGCCTAAAAAATTCATTTGTTGTATTTTCTCAAGTGAAAATTTGAAGCAGAAGTAGGCGACAGACCGGCATGAAGACAAAGGCGGCTTTATCAAATTCTGACACAAAGAGATAAGATATGGCTTTATCGTACATATCGCTGGTTTAAACTAAATCTAAGACTGAGCTAGTGTCTCCTCAAAGCTGAAATAATAAAATACTTTTCCTCTACCTTGCACCAGCAGGGCTATGGTGATCAACCACCTCTTCATAACACGGGTCGAATTATTCACCATGTAACAGATCTTTCAGGCTCTTTTCTCGTGGGATATGAAAACTTGATGCTTTGAGCCAAAAAGTTGAGACTTAATTACAGTCCACGAAGCACCTGCAGAGGTTTTAAGAAAAGAAACCTCTTTTCGTAGACAGACCTTTATTTTTTATTTTACTTTCAACTTCTGTAATGACTCATTGAAAAAACAGAACGATTGAGAGAACGTTGTTATAATTATGAGTCATTTTGTTGTCTGTTGAACTTTCTTTCAACAAACTGTTTACAGATTTCTTTTGAAAACGAAACAGGTGTATAAGAGCTATAGAAGTACATTTATAGAGCTATAGAACGTGTTTTTTCTCAAGATCTTTCTCATTTAAGCGACGATTTAAGTAGGAGATTATTCCTTTCAAAAATCATGCGTTAAGAATTTCATCAGTGACATTCGTTTACACATAGTCATATATAAATATTAGACCTTTGAAAAGAAAAATCCTCTAGTCAAATGTAATAATAATATTTGAAAGCTTTATTTATCAAAGCCGATCAAAAGCCTTACCTATTAAAGTGAAAGTATGAGTCAACGAAAACTTGGCTATGTTATCCTTTCGTTTTGAAATATGCGGTCACTTGCCGCTTCATTACGACAGGTCTATAAATAGCACATGGATGGCGTAAGCAAATTCACAAAAGGTGAAACGGCGCCCAAAATATATTCATCACTTTGCAAAAATAGTAAAACGAAGTTAAATGTGTGGCAGGCTAAGATGGCGTTCCACATGAGAACTACCATATTAATTTTAGGGGGCATCATATTGATAGCCCCTGCCTGTGGAATTACGGAAGGTAGGTATATATCGATTCGTTTATATGATAAATTCAAACATCTATAACTCGCATGTTTACTGCACGTGGTTGAGTAACAATTTTTTGCATTGGTGATCTTCATTAATCTCATTCCTGTGCTCTTGTTAGACCCCGCATGGAAAGGAACAGGCTGTAGCATAATCTGATACACAATCATTAGATTTTAGTCATTAAGAGTAACATGTGCAGTTGATGTACAGCTAGTATACTTATAACTAGTTTCTTAATCCACCATTCCAAAGAAACAGCGGGTAATTTTTCCATATGTAAATGTTCTATGTGTGTGAGAATGTTAAAATATAAGTAGGGGCTTTTCTGTGACTTAACGAGTGTATAGGGGTGGGGGTATTCTCGTGTGTGTACATACGGTTGGTGGGTTGGTGGTGGTGGTGGGGGGGGGGGGGGGGGTGCCGGTGTTTTAGCAACACATTATCTAATTACCATAAACTGTCATTTTATCACATCATTTTTATTTCAGAATTACGGTCAGAAAATGCACCCTCTTTGCAATCGATAGACGAAGGCAATTCGTTTTCAATTTGGTGCAATTTCTCTATGTCGCCTTTCCCTTGGTTTACTGTCATCTGGAAGAAAGTTAACCCGCTGAACAGTTCGGATATCCGGCCCATCTACATGTTACGGTCAACTAGAGAGAACAAAACTAACCCTATGAATGATTTTATCGAAAGAAACATTTCAGCAATGGTGACATCGCCTACGAATATAACATTTCGTTGTTGGATAGATGTACCTAATGCCAGCTACTGGGACGAGGGCAACTACACATGTTCTGTTACATCCACTGCCCAAAACAGTCGTATCGATTTAGTGGAATATCAGACTGTTCGGGTGATAGGTAAATGACAAAAACATTACGATCAAATTGTATTCTAAAACAACTGATTGTGGCTCTTATTTGTGTATGTTTGACAATTCTAAGTGCAGGCGATAATGTCAGTACTTTATATATGTCGCAGGCCCAGTCCCAATCCAGGCATATTCTAAATCCACTAATCCCAATATGGCATAATGCATTAATTGTTAAAAACAGCACAGCTTCATATATTAACTAATTTACAGGTAAGAAGACGGTTACCAGTAGTTTGAAGTTTCACTTTAATTAGGCCTGATTACCATATAACTTGATCAAAGAAAGCAGATAAACTTGAATATTCCATTTAAACTATTAGCAAACTCAATGCTGCTTTGTATCTAAATGCATACCACTGCAAAGGGCACTAACACAAGCTGGCCTATATCTGTAAATTAGTCTCTTACCTACATGCACCCTTCTTGTTAAATTCTGCTTTTAAAAATGCAAATTATGCTCAGTTGTATATAGATCTGCCTTGAATTGGGACTGGTGACCTTGTTACATTATATGACAAATTTATCATATTAAATGTTTTTTATTCTACTTACAATCTTACTTATAATCGATCTACGTGCGAATCAATTAAATTTATAAACCATTTGTAACAGGCCTAGTCAAGACCAAATTCAGTGGTAAGTTCTGTCGGAAAACAATGTCCGAAATGGACTAGGTCGTGTTTTTGTGCAAACTTTGTTTTGCTTAGAATCAACGCATCAAATTTCATATATTACGTTTTCCAGTTCCTTCATCAGACATTCGAAACGAAGTATTTATTTCAAACCAAACTGGTTATTCAAGTAAGTCGAGATTAGCTACTTCATGCACTCTAGTATTTTTAGTATCTAGATGTAAGCAACCTGGTCTATGTTCCTAGCCTTGTCATATGGTAGTAGACGAATAAAGATGTTGTTGTTGAATATAAAAGTTTTGCATTTGTTAACTGGCCAAATTGTTAATAACATACGATATCTGTATATAAGTATATCTGCCAAGAACAAAATGGCTTTCACTCTATCGGTCTTTTCTTTTTAAGTAGTTTATTCCACAGGTATTCCAGAACCAACCAAGCTGATTAGATTAGTTCTAAAAAGCCAGAAAAACTCTGGATTTATTTTTTTTTGGTCCACATTTTTGTGCGTTGTTGCTCTTTTCCTGGGACTTCTTATCATTATAATCATCGTATATAACCGAAGGAAAAGGGCCTCTAGAGGTAAATATAATCTTCTCATTTTTTCTTTTATCTAATTTAACGCTTCTCTCATCTGTTTATTTAACATTAATTGTATAATGCACGCTAATCCAGTCTTTTGTGAAGAAAA